ATTGTCGGTAAGATAAGGGGACGGTGTACAGAAACAAGTAAAACCATGCATTCGAGGCAGTACACAATTTTTAAAAAAATGAATACCTCTGAGTTTTGGGGGTCCAAACATACTACACAATGCAATATGCGTGGATAACTAACAACACGACCGTGGACTTTGGAATACTCAATAATGCTCATGCAGCTGACAAAAAGTAAAGAAATCAGCCGATTGCATTTCGTATCTAGATGGATGCCAGTCTGTCTGTCACGAGCATGCGGATTCCAGGGAATAGAAAATCTGTGGCGAATAGAAGACAGACGCACACGCTTGTTTAATGCAATCATTGCGAGCGGCGTTCTTGAAAATGCAAGCAGCTACCGATCCCCTTACTCGTAACACACACACACACACAAATAAATAAATAGGATCACCTAAAGGTAAGCAATTTTTCGAATCGCCAAATGGTATACCGAGATTTTAGGCCTCCAAAGTTTGGGTTGCCCAGAAACAAAGAACAAGTGACCACGTGGTTAGAAGTCAGTCTTATCCAAACTTATCCAAACGAAGTAGTTTTTCCTAGACGGAATCCCATGACCATCGACTTGTAGTATTTACATTCTCGTAAAGGACGACTGCATGGGTCAAGTAGCTTTTTGGTTGCAGTCTGCGTCAACCGCATTTCGGTGGTTACATGCAGCAGCTTAGGTGGAGATGATACGTGGAGTGCGTTTTTCAAGATGCCGTTCGCTTACTAGTCCAGAGGATTTAGCAAGACCAACGGTCTAATAAAGCAACTTCGATAATGGAAACATAGTGCTTTGCCGACATTTGTTTGACCAGATTCCAAAGCTCTGGCGTGACCACGGAGATTCCGAGAAAGCGTTGTGTGACGGACGATTACAAAAGTGAAGACGGGCGTCATGGATTACCTACCATGTGACGATGAACCGAATCGGGCTTATTTTGAGCGCAAGTGTACGTGGAAGGAATCCGGGTAGAGAGAGAATAAAAAGGGGAAACGTACCAAGTATCCTTCGGAGAATAGTTTGAAGTGGTGAATTAGCGCTTCCATTGAGTCTTTCATTTCTGAACGCTTTGGCGGTGTGATCTTTGCGTCGTCCACTTTGACTTCACCGGCAGGCATTTTATTTAGGCATTGTTGCATGATTCTGATGGACTGACGCATTTCTTCCAAACGGACGACAAAACTGTTGGACGAAATGAGACACATTAGGAGAGGGGAGAAGTAGATGCAGAGACGAAAATCCTTGTGACTACTGGATCTAGAAGTCACATATTAGGAAAACGCTCCAGAGTTACCTTTAAGCGCAAACCAAGGCATCAGGAAAAATCGTGCTTAGGGGTCTGAGCACAGTCTGTACAAAGCATGTAAACGCACTTGAAATAAAAGATACGGCTTAGTGATTGGCAAAACATCATGGCACAATGGTATTTGGGACAGACAGTTAACTTCATCCTCGGTTGTGATTTTGAACGGTTAATCAACTATTATCTATGTACTCAAAAACAATTTGTGGTACCTTTGTTACTACTACAACCATTGACCTTCCATTGTCTTGGAACGGCTTTGGTTGTTCTTGTTCGAGTTCTCATTTGGTCAACCTAACAAAGTGTGAATTCATCGTCTCACAACCGAGGATCGAATCTGAGCCTCACAAACAGTCACGTTTGGGATATTTCCAACCGAGCAAGAAATCTGAGGACCAATGTTGAAATGAGCGATAGTACAAGCTTAGAAGAAAATCACAAAGCTGAAATGAAACAGTTTGATCAACTACCCAGTGGGGTCAATTGGGTAGTATGCTTGCGTTCCATCTGTGAGGTACCGCAGTTGACTATCAGGAGAGGAGGGATTCGCACTGCTGTCGAGACCCAAATAGGTCGAAATAACTGTACAGTATCTCCCAGCTTTGTATTTGACGCTTTACTTACTCTACACTTGAGGAAATACGTCATTTACCCTAATCACATGATTCCCCACTCCCTTGTAACTCTGTGATTATTGTAAATTACACATCCTACGTTGGGACAAAAGTGGTTCAGGGGTGAAAACAACTCGCACGGCTTGGTGGGATGCCCGGTATGACGACTGAACACCAAAGATCCGATAACATACCATGGAAAACGGTTACTTAAGTTCAGTGACTATTAATGGCAAGCTGCACAGGACCAGTAAACAAGTACAGCCTAAAGACCGAGGGGATGGAAAGCTATCTGCTATTAATGCGGCAGACCCCTTCTGTTCTGTGCCATAACCATCCAGAACAAGCACGAAAATGGTACCGCTTAATACACTCTAAGGAGCGAGTCGCGAGGAAGCTGATGACTGTACTATCTTTAGTACAAAAATGGTCATCTTTTAGGACCAGTCATTTCTATTATGAGACCAATAATCATCGTCTGAACGCTTTTACTCCTGGCATTATCATCAATTTTAGTCGGGTAACTCACCGATCGTAGCAGTCCCCGTTCATTCCAATCGGTACATCAAAATCGATATCCGCATACGCATCGTAGGGTTGTGTTTTGCGCAGATCCCATTGGATGCCACTGCCACGGAGCATGACGCCAGAGAAGCCCATATCCAGTGCATCTTCAGCTGTGACAATTCCAACGTCCTTGGTACGATTGATCCAAATCGGATTGGTCAAGGTCATAT